ATCATCATCATCATCATCATCATCATCATCATCATCATCATCATCATCATCATCACACGTGAATAGGAAATTTTGCCTCACCCTTTACCTTCTCTACCTTCTCCACTTTCAAAGTAATATCATTCATGATATTTTTTGTTGGAATAAAATTTTTTTTTCGAACTTTTTTTTAAGTTTCTGAAGAAAAATCAGAATTTTGCAGTTCTATGTAAACTTGCAGTTCTATTCGAAGTTCTTTGCAAAGTGCAGTTCTTTGCAGTTCTATTCGAACAATTACATCGCTAAAAAAATTCATTTTCAAAAGTTTTCCATTTCATTTTAAACCGATTAAACAAGTGCTTCTCATTTATTGTACCGGAAAAGAATTTTCCGTTCACCATTGTATCGTTTGCTTAAAAAATTTCCAAGATTTCCCGGAAATTAAGAGACTCCTCATATTTCGGTAATCGAAAATGAAAAGGCAGTTGGAAATTTAAAAATCCGAAGTTGTCCGATATTTCAAGATTGCAATATGAATAATTTTAATTTCAAATTCTCATGAATGAGTTTTTGAGTTTTTCGAAATTATTTCGCTCTTTTGGTTGGTATTATATGCTATTAAACCATTTGGTTGTTAATTTTCATAATTTTAAACACATGTAGATAATATTCATCACCATCATTATCTTTATCATTATCATTGTCATCGTCATCTCCTTCACTATCATCAATGTCGTCACCATATCACCATATTATCATTTTCTCGAGTTTTTTTTTAAAGGGCTTTGCTTTTAAATTTTCATAAATTTTGAAAATATTTTGAAAGTGCTGCCTTAATTGCGAGATTTTCAACTTATTACATACCATTAATTCAATCATTAGACTTTTCTTTATATTTTTTTTCTTGTTATTTTCTTTCTTTTATCATTTTCTTATCACAAGCAGCTATCTTATGTCAATGTCGTATTTTTAATCTGTAATTTATGTAATTACATAGGTACCATTGGATGGATGTGAAACAACTTATAACTCAGATGGCAATCTGGAAAATGCGATCATTATTCAGGAAAATCCTTTATTTGTGAATGAAACTGATAAGAAATATTTGTTAACATGCATTCCGGTATTTCCAACAACATTCGGGTAGTTGTTCTTTAAGTTTGTAGTGGCTTGTTTTCAAAAATTTGGGAATTTTTTTATTTTTCCTCAGGGTAAATTTCAATCAGTGATAATATCAAATAATATTTGATAGGTTGAAGTAAGTTAAGTTAGCTAATTTTACATGTTAAAAATGTTAAAACATAATCGAGAAAACATTGGAATTTTTTGTTTGTTTTATGAGTGCTGCAAATTAAGAGAAGCAACCTTCCGAAAGTTCGATAAATAAATGAAATGAGTGATTAAGTAAATGAATGATGAAAGTAAATTTGAAACAAGTAATGAGTAATAAAATATAATAAATGTATAAGAGTTGTATTTTAATTCATTCATGATTTTTTGTTGAAACAATTATGAAAATTGAAAAAATTGAAAAACTTTAGTCGTCATTTTCAGTAATTAATTACCATTCAAAAACCTTTCCTTTTGCATCAATTACTATTGAGAATTGAAATATTTTTAAGCATTTGAAAATTGTCAGAAGTTTACTTGTCAACATTTATTGTTGGAATTTTAAACAATTAAAAAATTACTATCAAATTTAATTATTAACAAACGATTTAATGATATAGTAATTCAAGTGTAATTAATAATAAAGTATTGGATGAAATTATTTGGTTTAATTTTCATCGAAGTGTAAACATTATTTTTCATTCATTTATGATTTTGATGAAAATCAAACTAGTTTTTCCTCCTTTTTTCCTTTCCTTTTTGTTTTGTCGATTTAATTGAGTCGGAAATGTTTTTTGATAAAATTAAACAACCGGTTTTAATTTCAAGTAAAATGGCGGAAAAAGCAATGAATGAAACCATTTGCTATCCAAAAATTGTAAAGTTATTGTTTTTGAAGAAAACTGAAAAAGGAACAAATTAATAAGCAGTACTCTTAACTTTTGCAACAAATAGGAAGAAGAAAGCAGTGATGAGAGGAAGAAGAAATAAAAAAAAGTGAATTTATTGCTGTGACAAAAATCATTTAATCAACTTATCATTGCAATTAAATGTTTTTGGTAAATAAATCATTAAACAATAATGTTATCTGACCATGACATATAATTAAACATTTACTTAAGCAAATGCACCTTAACGAATCAATAGAAATATATTAACTGATAAAATTTCCGGACTGAATTCGATAATATTTTCAGTTCCTTATCAGAAACTGTCAATTTTGGTGGTATCACAGTGAACAGTCATGCAATTACCGCAGCAACAATCAACGCGACAGGTGTCGCTGATCAACATGTACAATACAAAGTTGAACTTCACAAAGTTAATTTAGATGGTACCCTACAACCAATCAATGGTTCTATTTTTGTTGGTGATAATATCGTAAGTAGCATATCCTTCTATTCATGTGTATTTTGACGTTTCTCTAAAATACGTATAAAAAGACTTTTTTTTTTCTTTTCTTTGATTCATCAAAGAAAACATATTTCAAAATAATGCATTAACTAAATTTTTAATAATTAATTCTTACTTTATCATCAATAAATGCCTTATACGAAATGTTTTCGATAGTTGTTACCCACTGTCCACCACCCATCGTCCAACACCTATCGTCTATCCACAAAAGTTCATCGTCCACTGTCAATTTTTCCTTAGTTTGGATTTACGCCTATGATTGTAACAATGAATGAGGCATTTTAAAAACTTAAGGATAAAAAAAAGGGAAAGAAAGAGAAAAGGCGGAAAACGAAGAAATGACGCTGAAAATTAGGGAATATCCTTTCGCATGGTTTATTAAATCAAATATTTCAAGTTTTAATTTCAGTTGAAATTCCAATTTCAGATCAAATATCTCAGGTCAGAATTATACCTAGCCAACCTCTTTTTCTTTTAAGATTTTTAAAAAACTTTAAAAACCTATTAAAGAGTTATTTGCTTGATTTTTTTTTTTCATCTTTTACTCCTTTTTTTTATAAGAAAAACAATTCTTTTTTCCTTTTATTGCATTCTATCAAATATAAATTATATTAATGAGTTTTCAATTGGATTCAACTTCACATTAATTTAATTTTTTATTGGATCCGATTTTACTTTTTTATTTTCGCATTTCATTTGCTATCTTAACCATGCATACAAAAATTTAATAATAATTGATATCGGTAATTTAACAGGAACTATTGATTTAGTAAAATACTTGATCATCTACCTCAATGTTAACCACGGTTTACGGTTTTTCATTCCGTTTGCTTCGTCTATTGTTACTGTTTGAATTATCACTTCTTACAAGATAGATTTATATTTTGTGAAATGATACAGTATCAATCAATTATCGGATTGATCTACACAAAACTCTTTTATAACATCGATCAGTTTCGGTCATATAATTAAACGATCAAATTTAATTGTTTAGTGTAGATAATAGACGATAAAATGGAAATGATACGGTATCGATACGGTATAAATATGGTATTATCTCATTTTGAAGGAAGCTATCGTTTTTTGACGAAATCATTTGGCAAATTGAATGAATACAGAATTCTTTTCATCAAAAAAAAAAAATGATATGCTATATGGTTGTCTAAAAACCAATTAAATTTAAAATTTCTCGTAAGAAATTGCTAATTTTAGGTTTATATCATTCGGATTAGCTCATTAGCAACAGATGCGCGAATTGGACATTGTTGGGCGCATGATAAGCAATCAACATTGCAACTTTCGGATGATAATGGCTGTAGCATACAACTTATTGGTAATGTTTGGAATAATTTTCAACGTCAACAACATGATAACAATATCATTTTCCGAAATCAAATTAAAGCATGGGCATTTCCTACAAGGTTTGTTGAAAATATCACGATTTGTTTCTGTAACTATAAAAAAAATGTTATTGAAAATAACAAATTAAATACATTCCTTTCTTCGATATTTATTTTAATGGTAAAAAATATTATGCTTAATTTTAATAAAATTTTAAAAGATAGATTAATAGTTTGTTCCATTTCTCTGGCTCTTTAGCCAGATACCACAATTGGCCAGCTAATTCATAGTAAATTCAGGCTACCAAAAATGACAATTATCTTCCTGCCATATGCATTCGTAACCAAATTCATTTTTTTTGCACATTTTGCGACAGTATATAAATTATAAAACTTATAACATTTAGTATTTGCTTAATAATGATAATAAGATATGATATCATTGCAGATGTTTTATCAGTATCATTTGATGATTACTAGTAAACAAACTCTTCTTGTTGAATAATAATGATGGAATTATTTGTAAATAAATGCTAACGGAAATTGAAAAATAATTCAAGGCAATATGATTTAAGATATTGCTCAAAAAGTTATGAACAAATTAATGGATATAAAACATCCCAGAAAAAAAAGCTATTAGATTTTTGAAAGCGAAAAAAAGCCTTCCAAAATTGATAAATCTAAAATAAGAGGACGTGAGAGATGAAAATAAAGTTAAAACTCAAAATTTTGCTTTTTTTTCGTCTTTTTTAACAAGCAAAATTTTAGAAATTTTTTATAATTATATTTTAGATTATACAAAGAAAGGGTCGGTAAATGTAAAATTACAAGGATGATTTTGAAATCAGCAAAATGATATAGTATGAAATGAAAGTAGTGCTAAAGGAAGAAAGAATGATATAGTATGAAATGAAAGTAGTGCTAAAGAAAGAAAGAAAGATAATAAGTGCTATATATAATTATCATAACTAAATGAAAGTAAAAATAAAAGTAAAGAAAAAAAGAAAGACGAATAGAAAATCTTTTTTGGAAATTATGCATATGCAAATATTTATTACCTTTAATAATTAAATACTCAAGAGAAAAGAGTTAAATGTATTTTAAATACTTGCTTTTTTTCAAAAAAAATGCTTATGAAAAATTAAATATGTAGGAAAAAATTAAGTGATTTTTTGAATTTCTCAACAAAAATGATGAAATTAGAAATAAATGTATAATTCATTGATAATAATTTTATTATTTCTTGTTTATAGCAACGATGTGAATATCTTTTGCAATTTGCATACGTGTCGCATCACATGTCATCATATAACCTGTAATGAACAAAGACAACGTCGAAACGTTCTAATGTCAGATAATGTTGATAATAATGAGGTTCATATAGTAAGTGCCAATTTTCACGTTCAAAACAAACACAATGCAATGACAGAGGACGAAAAAGAAGAGGTTTATTTTATTATCATTATTATTAATTATTATTATTAATCATTGTTATTAACTACTATCATTTTTTCTTTAATTTTCGTGAATAATAAGAAAAATTTTCATCAATTTTTGACATTAATTATTATTAGGAAAAAAGAAAAAAACAGGAATAATAAGGTTAATGAAATTTAAATAATAATAATGGAACAGATAACGTCAGATAGCTATGTTAACGATTTATTAATTGAAAATAATCTGTAAAGAATCTTTGAAATAAATTAATTTTAAAACTATTTCTAATTCATACATCAATTTTTGAATAGTAAACAAGGTTATGCCTTCAGTAATTGTAAACAATGAAATATGAGGACGGACTGACACACACACACACACACACACACACATACACACACACACACACACAACACAAATTAGTTTTATGTTCAATTTGAAACACTTGATATATTTTAAAAATTTGCAACATAAATGTGTACATCTATAAATGTGTATCCATATTTAAATCACTTGAAAGATATTGAAAAGTAGGCAATATATAGATGTGAAATGTAAATGTGAAATGTAAAAATGAAATGACATATTTGAACAAACTACAGTGTTATTGATTGCTTTTGATAATAATCGGTTGGATATTTTGAGAAAATACCCGATGGTATGCATAATAATATAGTTTTTAAAGATGTTGCATTATATGTTAATCCGTTCAAGCATTATCTAATTTAAATATGACATAAACAATTTAAATTTTATTCGATCTTTTAATTAAATCATTAATTCGAATATATCGATTATTCGTATTCTACCGCGTAAAGTTTCCTATCATATCGTTTGTGCAGGAATAAATAATTTGTTAAAAATTATGAATAGGTCGGAAAATGATTCCTATTATGCCGGAATAAAATAATTAACTGAAATAATTTGAACACTTCAGTTTCTTTTTTTCTTAAGGAAATTATTCACGACAATATACAATATTTTTAATGTATATGAATGAAATGAATTGCTTCATAATCATAGTAATCATATATTACTAGCGAATAGTTATACTTTATAATTGACAAAGATATAGTTAGTTTAATAATTTATAATTGACAAAGACGGATAACTAAGCGATTAATTAGTTTAAACGATTAATCAGTTAAATGATTAATTAAATACAAGTGTTTGCTTTTATGAATTATATGAAATAAAAAAGAGAAGTGCATTGTTGGTCATTTATATTTTATACAAATTATTTGATAGTCATTTTTTAACTTCAGTTTTTTGAGCTTTTTTATTAAAAAATAATTTTAAGCATCACAAGGAATCCTTTCTCGAAAAAAAGATGTTAATGATTATAGAAATTTGGAAATGAGATTTATCTTTTCTTGTTTTTCAATTTGACTTTGGGTTTTTGAACCTTTTTTTTAAAACTTTATCATGTCATGTTACAAATTTGTGAATTTGAAAGTTGATCGATTTTCAAATTGATCGATTATTCTTTTTTTTCGGAATATCTTTAAATGATTGATATCTAATCTTTTCGTCTTTTCACATAATTAAAACTCAATTCTGATTTGTTTTTATCGCCAAAAAAAAATTGTCACCAAGGAAATATGGGAAAAAATTGTTAATGTTATCAAAACAATGCATTCGTTTCTTTTGGAATAAAAATTAAAAAATTATCGAAAAAGAACAGATTTTTTGAAATACTTTCTATCTATCTTTTTTACCTCGTTTGCAAATTTATGTTAGGAAAAAAGTTAGAAACATCGATTTAAGAGTGTTGATCAATGGTCTGAGAATAAGTTTTGAATAGTTTGAAGATTTGAACAGCAAGTCGGAATGATACCGAAGGTCATTATGTCTTGCGTTCGAAGGTCATAGGCCCGGAAGTATAGATTGCGTAGATAATCAATTTTTCAATTAATTTCACTTTAGGCAAAAAGTTTCCATCAAGTTTCATATATTATTGTTATTTCTGCTCTTTTCCGTTCTGTTGTTTTTTCCGGAAAGATATGTATGAAAAAAAACGGCTGAAAATTAAAGTGGAAAAATGGCTTAGCTCACTAACTAATTTATTGATTTGGAAATGAAATTTTGAGTTTCTTTATTTCGTCTTTTTATAAAATGAAATCCTTCTTTCTTAACGTTTGGGATTTTCTTTTTCTTGCCATGAAATGGAATTTTAAAAGAATATTTGAAATGAAATGAAACTTTCGATAATGAATTTCAAAGAAATGATATTTTTATGAGACATATGAAATGAAGCCTAAGTTTCATTTATCCAATCAATATTCTCTTCCTAATATTTTTATTATTAAAATATCAAAATAATTGTTTTCTTCAAAATACTAGTAATTATCATTTTGATCGATTGCTGGTTTACAAAGGATTTTCAAAAAAGAAATATGTATATAAAACAAATGGTTGTTAGTTGGAGTCAAAAAAAATTGCAATAAATTTAGAAAAAAAAATCTTATTTTGAAGCAAAAATATATGTTCAATGGTAGCTGATATATTCACAAAATAAATTCTTGAAATAAATAATTTTTTTTTTTTTTGTTTTTAAATGAACAATTATTGCTTTTAGACCAAATTGACAAATAAAAAAAAAAAGAGGAAAAAAGACTGAAAAATTGTCATAAAATTTTTTACTCATTTACTTGAAAAAGAAATGGAGGAAAGCAATAACTTGTATTGTAAATGAAATATTTGAACAAGTAACACTATAGTTTATTTCGTATTATTTTGAAAATTGAACAAATTTTAGTTTTCTAATTTGTCACCTCAACAGAAGGATCATTTCCTTTGCCAAAGATTATTTTGAAACAAAATAAATAAGTAAGAAGTAATATTTCAGTTTTTAACTTGACAGTGTTGTCATACACTTTATTTTATAACACTTAGAATTTCTCCTAATTTAACAACTCGTTGCAAATTAATTTAGATTAAGCATTAAATTAATATGTCCAGTCGAAATTTAAACTTTTACACGTAAATCATGAATGAAAATGGGAAGAATATGAAATAAATAGTTGGACAATAATAGATGGTTCTTTCAAAATTCTTCAACCAATTTAAAGTTTAAATAAAATTTGTTTAATATCTAATTAGTCAGGAACACATAAATGTTGTTTATATCGATTGTAAGTTATAA